AGCTCCAGTTCCAGACCACGGAACGCGACGAAGACAATTTGTAGGACCCTCTGGGGCCGGCCTTAACCAGCTGATTCGGGCCAACTGATTGCGACTTGCAACTGCAACACACGCTGCAATAATTTCGTAATTTCTCACTCACTTAATTTAGCACAATTAATCTCAATTTCAGCTGTCAACCGGAGTAGGAACCAGGCAGCGACGACTCTTGGCCAGCGCTCCACTTCAGGTTGCATCTATGTGGCTGCTTTGGCTGTTGTTGGGTTGGGGCGCACGCATGACGTGGCGGGGCAGTGGGAAGATTCCCATAAATATTGGACTGCCGTTAGAAATTCATGTGTAATTTGTCACCTGAAATTAATCTGAGTCCAACGCCACTCCAAAGGCAGTCCAACACCAGTCCGCCGGGGTGTTGGGTGATTTGTTTGAGTCTCTGCCCGGTCTGACACCCAAATTGAAACGCATGCCAAAGCGCTGACTGCTGACTGCTGACTCCGTCTCTTCCCTGACATGACCTGGCTTCAATCTGCCCCGTCTATCTGCTCTAGCACTCCTCCTCCGTCATTGTTTATTATATCATCATAACGCCAACTGTTAACTGGCCGTGACCGTCTGCCTCCGACCAAGAGTTCACCAAGAGAGTCACTGCCCCGGCGGTTATACTCTGGCAGTTCGGCCTCCGATCTGGGGGTTTAGCGCATGGTATGGAAACTCTGTGGAGAGGTGGTGTTATCAAAACTAGAACAGCTTGGATGTAATTAATAGACCTTACTGTTGTACATTAATCATAGGTTTGCATAGGGAGGGAATACTTGCGTAAGAATTTTAAGTGATCTTATGAATTTTTAGTGAGCTTATAAAAACAAATAGCATTTGTTGTAAAAAATAAAATAAATACAATATATATTTGAAGTATGTTTGTCTCTTATTATTGCTTACTTATTTTAGAGCACTAAGTTAGTAGAGCATCCGATCGTCGTTTTATTCCACTCCCAGTTTGGCTTCCTGTTGTCATTCCCATTTGGATGCTCATTCCCTCGCATTGCCACACATTTTGGGCCTTTTGTATTCTTTTTGGCCATTAGACGATGTTTAGGGTTACATTTGTGAGTGCTTTTAATTTAATTTGCCTCAAGAGTTCGCTGCCATTTTATTGTTGTTATTGTTCTTTGTATTGTTTCTGCTGTTGTTGCTGCTGGTTTTCCACTGGGTATGTATTTTTTTTTATTTGCCACATTTTGCGGTTTTGGGTTTATGTTTTCAACTTTTCTCTGCTGCGGTTTAACAAATTTTCTGGAGATGTGGCTCGGCTTGGCCTGGCTTGGGTCTTGTCTTGGTCTTGGTCTTGTCTCTCCATACAGGTTCTCGCCGTCTCTTTTGCGCTGGCAGTGTGTTTTTCCTGGGTTGCCGTACACTTGCTTAGATATAGATATGGTCTTGAAACGTTAGCAAACTCGCACACACACCGGAGGGGGGTCGTTGGTGGTGGCTAGGTGGGTTCGTTTCGTTTGCAGCGAGGCAATGTAGCTCCATAGTTCCAACTACAGCTCTAGCTCTAGCTCCAGTCCCGGCTTCATCCCATGTCCATCTCCATTCCGTCCACATTTATGGCAGTTGGCAGCCACGGCCACGGCCACAGCCATAGCCACAGCAAGGTGTTATTTTCATTTCTAGGTTACTGACCCATGTCACATGTGTGTGCGGAAAATTCAATATTGCTGTGAAAAATACTTACACAACTATTAAATAAAGACATGGCCAAGACGACCGGCCCAGAGCCAAGGCCCAGCTGCCTGGCTTGTACTTAATAATTACGCTCATTTCATGCATGCAATGTTTGGATTCCCGGGAATCGACCGCCCACCATGTCCCACCCTTCGTCGCCCTTTCGCAGCGAAGCTTCGTGGCGCACAGCTTTTCCAGCTGGAAATGAAAGAAAAATTCTTCGACAGCAGCCGTTGGCAGTTCTTGCTTTTGGCTTAATTAATTACCGCATTCCATCGACTTTAGCCATCGCCATCGCGCCATTTCATCTCCCATCCGACGATCCGTTTCTCTATTTGCGGAACCCAAACGAAAGACTCAAGGCACAAGATCGCCTCGCTTTCCACTTCCTACTCGATAATCGATTGAGTTCGTACATGTCATTTGTAGCGCTTTTGTGGCATTGTTGACAGCACAAAACGATTCCGAATGAAAATGACATGATGTGCACGCCAAGATCGGTCTTAACCAGAGCACACTCTTTTATCGGCCATAAGACCGGCTGGAGTTAAGTTAAGTTATGTTAGGTAGAGTGGAGTGGAGTGGAGTGAGGCCTCATTGGCATGACAAATTGCGACCCATTAATCTTGACACGGACTTTCACTTTGCCCTAGCCCCAGCCCCAGCCCAGACCCAAGCCCCGTAGTTCACACACGGCTCACGAGATCTTCGCTGGGTTCATATTATGCAAATGTCAATCAGAGAAGCGTTGACAGGATGCTAAAAACCAAGGCATACACTTTAATTTGAGGGTAAGGCTGGGCTCTTACATTTTTTGTTAGTTAATATTTTCGGTTTTCAAAATTACTCTAATTTTAAGTAAGGGCACAAATATTTTGCAAATTATCAGAATTTTAATAAATAAATGTTTGCCTTTTAATTTATACTTTTGGCTTAACCTTAAGGATTAGGTAAAGTAATTCAGAGCAAAGTTTTATTTTACTTTTGCCAGTTTTTTGTTAGACTTTTATTTTAAACAACATTTTTTGTTAAGTAATGGAAATTTACGTTGCCTGTATCGCTGAGAGCCAGCATAATTGGCAAATATATTGGCAACATTTTGTTCCAAGCCCCGGCCATTGTGTTACCCATTTAAATTAACGATTCGAGATTTGATTCACGTGTAAACGATTAATCAAGTTCCAAGCAGTAAGTCCAACTCCAGCTGGCTGTGTCCCGTCCTTCTGCCTCCTGCCTCTTGCCTCTACTTCCTCTTCGCCAGTCGAAGAGTGCCACTTGCTGCGTTTTGTTAGCCAGCCGCGGGACTGAGGAGCTGGCTAAATGGGTCAGTAAGGTGGAATTCGATTTTCGGCTTACATCGAACGCTTAGAGCCAAATTAAATATTGGTAAAGAAAAAGATGTCATGGGGAGTTTTTATGGCAGAATTGAGATATTTAAGTTTCGGGCTAAATTGGCAGACCCATAACAGTTGGAATTATTAGATGGAAAAAATGTGGGTAGAAGGAAAGAGCGTAAAACCAGACCCATTAAACCGGATAAGCTAAATTAGTAGTAGATAAGTTTATAAGTTAAGATAATATATATATATATATAAATATATATTTTATCATTAAGAGGAACGATTTAAAGACCATTAGAGAGTGCCATAAAATGATGAAGCGAAAGAGTTCTGAATTTTAAAGAACTTTTTATATCTTCAATTATTCCAACTTTCGCTCCTTTCTTTCCCGAAACCCAATCTCTTGTTTTCTCTGATCACCCTTGATTACCTACTATATACAACTTCATTCGCAGCTGATTTATGATCGCTTAGCGATGACAGTGTTAAATGATCTTGGCTCAATCGATGTCTGAGTAATTCAGTAGTAAGATCCCAGCAATCGGAGTGGATCCACGATCCCCAGTTCGTCGACGATCAACGATCAACGATCAGCGTTGAGTATTCTGTCATTGAACTGCTCTGCGGTGCAGGAATCCAATGGAAGATCCATCTATCAGCGCGCAGTCAGGCATGAATGAATGTTTCTCTTCATTTCGCCAAGATCACCGATCGAGAACCCAGCAACGTTCGTTGAACTGCACTAAACCGATTGCTAGGCCATTTACAATGTTCGAGTGTTAATTTTTCAAGCCGGTTAGCTGTGGAGACTGTTGGCAATTTGAGCTAAATTTGATAGGAATTGGTCGATACCATCATGCAAATTGTATTGGTTCGTAGTAATCCGCAGTGATCGGTGATCTGTGTGAAACTATAAACATCGGGAGACTTTGGATTACTAATTACCAATGTTGTTGATTAACTGAACCTGAACCCTCAAGGTGTGGCGATTTGTAACTTATTGGTGGGTATTAATCTTTTTATTTTTGAAGGAGAACTGATCACTTAAAAACTTTATTTATTGATTAAAGCTTACTACTAACTGTACACAAGAATGAAATAGTATTCATTACTAATTAAAATACCATTCTATATGCTGTAGTTTTTATCTCTTCTTTGAAAAATGCATTAAATCCCCCCATGATAGCTAAACCACGACTAACACATATATTTGCTTTAACGATTCCCCTTTTGCTGCCAATATTTCAGCATCCAAGCGTGAATCAAACTGAATCATCGGCTCGGCCGCTCTTGGCGTCCCCCGTAAAACGGTAACAATAGACTGCACTCAGCGTTACGTAACAGTTATACTGATAACTCATAAAAATTCCCAGCGAATGCGGGGCGACAGATCTTTAACACTGACCCACATTCAAGAGTCGGTGAGTCAATAAAGAAACCGCACACGGGTCGAAAATAAAAGAGCTTGCGCTAATACGCAGATTAAATAATCGCCGATCCATGAATCACTGATCCCGAAGAAGGTGGGGGTGAGCTTTTGGAGGCGGGCGACAGCAGTGACAAAGTCTGGGAATGGGCGGGAAAGTGGCCAAAAGCATTGGGGCCGAAATTGATGGGCAATGTGTGTATGCGCGCACGGCTATTTGTTTACCAGCCAGCCTGGGGGGTCGAGGTCGCCGCGGCCGTAAACATTTGTGCACTTATCAATTTGCCAGCCGCAGCCGAAGAGCTCGCAATCAGCTGTTCAAACGAAAGACTTAAGGCACAAACTTGCCCGTCATAAATCTCTCTTCGGAGCTCGAAGACGAAGACCCGTCTTTGCTTCTATGGCCCGTTTCTCTTTTGCCAGAAACTCTTCGAGCGGGCTTTTCTCTTGGCACCTGGCGCAGTTTTATGCGCTGGCTGCTGCTTTGCCGGTCGCAGTTTGGTTTTCACAGCGCTCGAGTGCGGTTCAGATCGGTTTCCGATTCGGATTCGGTTTCGATTTCGCTGTTTGCTGTTTTCTGTTCGCTTTTCGGTTCGCACACTTGCAGTTCGATTCTACAAAAAAAAAAAGAAACAAGCAACCAGACGAAATTTACAAAAAGGTGCTTAATTTTGTTACACACTTTAACATTCAGCCCAGAGGCTAGAAACCAAAAAAAAAAAAAAGGAAAAGAAATAAAATAAAATAAAAATCAAGAAACAAAAAAGAAGTAACCGAAACCGAACAGACATTTCAATCAATCAAAAAGACGCAAAACCTAGTCGAAATTGTTAATCGAAAATTACACAAAATGGAAAAAACTGTTAGGACATAAAGCCAAAAGACCGAGCCGTCGAAAAGTGAGAGTTTTCCACGTTCGTGCCCATGTTTCGAAGTAATTTTGCCGTAGTTTCTTCATCTTGTGCTCCCTCTTCTCGATGGTTAAACAAACTTGCGACTCAATCACGACTAATTGCGCATGCGGGCCCGCTTTGTGCGTATTTAAAGCGCCGCCTCGACAACGATGCATACTGGCATATTACAAAACCGGAGCTCCGGAGTCTGCTTAATATGCGTGTCACGTTGCCGGCCATCAAGTTCAAATTGCATTCGCTGTCAACGCATTGCAGCAGCAGCAGCAACTTCTGCTTGCGGCACGCGTTAAGATTTTGAAATTAACACCCCGAGGGGCCACAAACTGGAGCACCTCTGGCTGCTAATTAAGAAATAAAGCCTTATCAGAGCCTCAGCAAATGCTGACAGCAGGATAACAGCCAGCCAGGATAATGACCTCGGCTCAGTTGCTAGTACCTGTGCCAGTGCCAGTGCCAGTGCCAGTCGATAACTTTTGGCAGGCGACATGAGCACTAATTAGTCGCAGCCTTTGCTAAATGCTAAATGCAAACAGCAACGGCAATCGCCGCTCAACTTGGCACTTGTTGGCTGGCAAAAAAAAAACAAAAAATCACGAAGCGAGAACAACGAAAAACGCTTCGACTTTGGCTTCAGCTTCAGCTTCAGCTGCAAATGCAAAGTGAGTTAATGCCGCGGCAGCCAGTTTTTCCTGCTCCCGACACTGTCAAATGCCAACTCGCGGGCTGGGCGACTTGCTCGTGGGGCATTTAACTGCCAAGCTAATGCACTCACTCACAGACACTCACCAACACACGCGCAGCGGGCCGGCCAGGGATCTAATACAAGTGCAGTTAATTAATTTCTTTGTTGTTCTCTACGGTAAATCATGCCGTGTGTGCTGGTTCTTTGCTTCTTCGCCAGAATTTTCGCACAGAAAGTACGAGTGGCACTCGGAAAAATGTGAATGCATTCAATTCTAAATGGTTCTTTAAAAAATACATCGAATCAGAAAAGAAAATACGTTTTAAAGTTTTTTCAATCACGTTTTGTATAGGTATCTAAAAACAAAAAAATTATTTCCAACACTTTTAATTTAAAAAGTGCACAACCAATTAAAAGTTTTTAAAACTCAAAAGCAAAATATCACATTAAAATTGTAAGAGTGAATTTGAAAACAGTTTTGGTTGGCTTAAGCAATTTCTTGTTAAGTTTTTTTTTTCTGTCGCTTCTTAAGCATTTATAAAAATACGAAATAATTATTTTCCAGTTTTCGATTAGATACGAAAAGTAATTCTAACCAAAAAAGAGATTCAAGTTCCTTTCCCAACTAATTTCTATAGTCCTTTTGTATCCGGATTTTCTTAATTTAAATCCAAAATGATTCCATTTTTAGCTGTGCAGCGAAAGCAGAAGAAGCAGAAGTGTTTATTGAAGACTTTTCCGCCACCGAAGCCGGTGAATTTTCCACCAGGGACTCCACTCCGACGTCTTTGACTTTGCCTTTTGTTGCAGCTACTTGAACTGCATTTGCATATAAATTAGTTTTGATAGCGCTCCATGAAGTCCCCAGCAGCAGTAGGTTGATGTTTGTTCTGCGAATGCGTTGCGAAAAATCAACTTGTGGCTGCAACTGCCTAACGGGATTCATTAAGTGAATTACAACAGAGGCAGTGGCGAAGTGCGAGGGCAGGGGCAAATGGGAAATCAAGCGATAAGTCGGCAATAAAAATTGGCAGCACTTTGGCACAATTAAGGAAAGGGGCTGGAGCTGAAGTTGGTAACAAAAGAGAGCCAACTGTCCAGCAGCAAGGCGACTGGGTTCTGCACCAGTTAATTGTTGGCCGTTGACAACTTCCACTCGCCGTCGTGCCACAAGGAAGCATACCATTAAGCGGCAAAGAAGTGCAAATTCACATTTAATGAGCCACTGGCAGGGGTAGGGAAAAAGGGGGGGAAAATGGGGGAGAAGGGGCAGGAAGCTGCGGTCTGAGCCAGCTGAAAGTGATTCTTGCGGTGTCTTGGAGTTGTGGAATCTCAGCGGTCGCAAGTGCAATTGCCAAAGAGAAAAGATAAACAAGGGAAATAAGTGGTAAACTGCAAATTGTAACTATGAAAAAACTAATAACATGAATATTTTTTACATTTTACCCAAGCTTTTTTACCGTTATATGATCTTTAATACTTCTTTCATTTAAGAGGTAATTATTAAAAAGATAAAATAAGCATACAAATAATTGTTCAGCTCATCAGAATTAAGTGCCATCGATTTGTTTTGATTAAAGTGGTAAAGATAAAACAATTCAGATTAAAAATCCTGTTCTCAGTTGCTCAGTTGGTGGTTTTTAAATAACGTTTAAGCATTAAACTTAAATGGCAGTCAGCTTAAATGGAAAATATAATTTTATTAAATAGTAAAATAAATTTCAAGCTGAAAAGTGTAAACTATCTTACTGGCTGCTATCTCACCTGAACATAGCTTAAACCTACAACACCATTTATTTTATTTTGGGTTAGAGTTTTGATTGCTCTTTGTGTACCTCAGACCTTTTCCCAAAATAAATCAAGTTCTCTTTTTATGTTGCTTCTATTTGGACAGAGAAAACTCAATTTGTTAGCCCAATTACTGGCGCGATAATGTTTCTCCCACCCAGTTAAGCATCTTTGAATTTAAAGACCGTCAATTGGGAGGGGACCCCATTGGTTGTCACTTTCGAATCACAGATCCGAAATTATAAACACGAAACATTAATTCGTTAAATCGTCGTCGCTTTCAACTGTCACTTTTGAGTGGTCCGCGAATGTAAAATGCAATTTCCATTTTCATAACGCCTCATAACTCAAGATAGCCGTCAATTTGGGTCTTTGGCTAACTGGCTAGCTGGCTAACTGGCTAACTGCCCGACTGGCAGCCTGGGCAGTTCCAACCTGTTCGGTAGAGCGGATCGGACTCCCCGCCAACTGATATGCATCGATTTTTGGCAATTCCGTTCGGCTACCAGCGAATCGAATGCAAATAGGGTCCGCAGAGCGGAGCGTGGTTGGCCTAATCACATGGCTGTCGAGGGCTTTTTGCATAAATTTCGGCTGGCCAAGAGCGAAGCCGAAAATTGATGCTAGGCATGTGATTTCTAATTCGATCGTTGGCCCATTTCCATTAACAGCTCTACTTCTGTTTTGTTTTGCAGCCCACAAAACGCCCACGACGGAGAGGCGGTGAGAAAATAAAAAGAAATCAACCCAAACAAAAGTGAAAAACAATAAAGGCCAAGGAAAATCGCGGTGCAATAAAAGCTTAGCTCAATCACAAAGCGAAATAAATATTTTCAGTTCGAGCCGCAGCAATAAAGAAAACAAATAAAGCCCGAGAGTAAAAGGTTCCAGCAACAATTAATTAAGAGGGTGCCCGTGATTGTTGTTGCAACTACAAGAAAAAAAAAATAAAAATAAAACTCGTTCACATATATTTACAAAAGCTTTTTACGGCTTCGCAGTGAAATGCAAATCAATTAAAAATATTATTGTTAAAGGAAGAAACAAAAAATCCGAAAACGAAAAGAAATTTCTGTTACAGTTTGATTTGCCATTACCCGGGGAGTAAATGTGTTTTATTGACCATGAAAACGATGGAAAGTTAGCGATTTAAAATAAAGAAAAATAATAATAATTAACGAGGTGTCTTCAAAGTGTGCGTGCAAATATCTCAAGCAAAAGCAAGGAGAGATAAATCGTAAATGGGAAAACGGCCAAGTGACCAAAATGGCAATGAGTGAAAATCAAATTTAATAATCCATCTACAGTTGGCCGTTCTATATAAATAGTTAAACAACAAACAGACACTTTAAAGAAGTCGCAAGTTTTACGATCGCAACCAGATAGCACAACCGAAACTGAACAGGGAGTCTAGTAAGTTGAAGTATTTATTCTTTTTATTGTCTAAGCTTTCACCAAGCGTCAAAATTAACGATGCTCTTCGCAGATAAGAAACAGCATTAACTTCAATATAACCCGAAACCATTTTTTGATATATATTTTAAAAGCCCTTCTGTTTACTGTTCTCATCTCAGGCTTATATATTAATAATCACTCGTTTGCTCCCTTTCTATTTTTCCAACTCTCTTAATTAGGGAATCGTCCGTTAGGTCTGATGTCTAATTTAGTTTCTAGAATCAAGAGAACTCCCTTAATATATGCGTTTACCACGAAATTAACACCAGCATTTGTTTTATAATCGCACCGAATGGTTGGCACCTTTGGCCAGTGTAATTTTCCCAACCAATTTGATAGTGCTGTTGGCCTCGCTTAATTCGCCCAGCCATTCTAATTTCGCAATAGTTGCCGTATCGAGGCTTGTCACTAAATCATAGTCTGCCAGATGGCATGCGATTATCCAGCTCGCAGTGTTATAAAGCCCCAGTCGAAGTCATCTCCAGCTAAAGCTACAGCTACAGCTCCAGCTTGTCTGGGTTGTGTCAACCTCGGGCCATCTTCTGCCACAGCGTGTGTCGTTTTATTAGCGAAAGTCATCGAGCAGAATAATTGTTGCAATGTGGATGTCTCTTCCCCTCCGGTTCCATCTTTCATTCCCAAATGCCATACCATCCCATAATATCCCATACCATACCATTCCATCGTGCGGCAATCAAAGTGCGCGCTCGTAAAGCGCAATTCACTTGCGCGGAAAACCAAATTTGTCCTCTTGGTCTTAACCAATTTCGGTTCGGTGTCTCTGGGCCTTTCGGCCCAATGTTGGCAAGCAGCTCAGCAGTCAGCAAACTGTGACCGTCTTTTGGCTGCTTCCAGCAGTTATATAATTTTCTTAACCCATTATTCCATTTGTACAACTTCAGGCGCAAAATTATTTAAATGCGTCAAAAATTTCTGTCGCTTTTGGGAAATGGTGAAATAATATCAGAGCGATAGTTTAATTTCTGGTTATTACGGAGATTGGGAAAGACCTTGGCTTGGGGGGCAGTTATACAATAAAAGTGCAGTGGCCTTAGGGCGCAATTGGCCAAATTAATTGTTTGCTCTTACAATGAACTCTTTGACAACAAAAAAGTGCTTTCGCTTGCTTTAATAAACAACCAAATTTTTAGTTTTAACGATTGCTAGTTTATGAACTATGTTTTTTGTTTACATTTACATTTTTATACCCTTGCAGAGGGTATTATAATTTCAGTCAGAAGTTTGCAACGCAGTGAAGGAGACATCTCCGACCCTATAAAGTATATATATTCTTGATCAGCATCACTAGGCGAGTCGATCTAGCCATGTCCGTCTGTCCGTCTGTCCGTCTGTCCGTCCGTTTATATGCAAACTAGTCTCTCAGTTTTAAAGCTATCTGCATGAAACTTTCCCAAAAGTTGTCTTTCTATTGCAGGTAGTATATAAGTCGGAACGAGCCGGATCGGACGACTATAGCATATAGCTCCCATAGGAACAATCGGAAAAATAAATGAAAAAAAATTATAACTTTGCTGTTTTTTAATTTTTTGTTTAGTTCTTCGACATATAGCAATGGTTAAATATTTCAGAATTATGATTTAAATTTCATCAAAATCGGACGACTATAGCATATAGCTCCCATAGGAACAATCGGAAAAATAATTGAAAAAAAATTATAACTTTGCTGTTTTTTAATTTTTTGTTTTGTTCTTCGACATAAAGCAATGGTTAAATATTTCAGAATTATGGTAAAAATTTCATCAAAATCGGACGACTATAGCATATAGCTCCCATAGGAACAATCGGAAAAATAATTGAAAAAAATTATAACTTTGCTGTTTTTTAATTTTTTTTTTAGTTCTTCGACATATAGCAATGGTTAAATATTTCAGAATTATGGTTTAAATTTCATCAAAATCGGACGACTATATCATATAGCTCCCATACAAATAATAAAAATATATAAAAGAACAATCAAATAATTATGCTGCAAATCGTCATAGCTTCAATGTTTTTAAACATATACGCAAGTAAATCATAATTTTAATGTTTTCAAAAATATTTAATTCTTGCGATAGCTGCAAGGGTATATGAACTTCGGCTTGCCGAAGTTTGCTTTCTTTCTTGTTCAGAATAAGTTTTGGGAAAAAAATGTAGTAGTTGCCATATTACATATCATGGCTTTTCTACAACTTCTGCATGTCATGTCGAACAAAAACTTTACCAAAACTCAGAACTTAACATATAGGAGGCATTTGTTGTGGTTTGTTTCTGCCCTTGAGCCCAAAAAATGTATTATTCAAGAGTTAGCCAAGAAATTCTCACCAAAACAATGCCAATGAAACATATAATCAGGGTCAAGAGAAATGCCCCCTTTTGAGAATTATCTAAGTGGCGTCATTGTTACTCCATAAATGTCGTTCGCCGTCAATCAATAAATGAGAACAAAAGTTTGCCAGTTTTGGGTCACACCAAAACACACATCGTAGTGGCTTCGAATCGAACATAACTCTGGCCTCCGATTAATATTCATTAAGCTGATTTTATAACATCAACATGGATACAGTTTACAGCTATAAGCCGCAATTAAAGTCTAGACGACCAATGCAATCGCTGAATTAATCATTGGCCAACCATGCCTCCGAATGAGTGGCAAAAGATGGGAGTAAATGAATTAATGAATGAACGGCCTGTGATTATGAATGGCAAACATCCAGCGGCAGATGTGTAATTATTTCTGCATTAATTGCGGACACAGCAATTAACACTCTTGACACTCTTTGCCGGGCCAGAGATCTAGTTGAAATGAGTCTGGGTTTGGAGGTGTGAATGGATCCATCGGATCGGATCATTTGATGTCTGTGCCATTCTATTTTCGCCACTTTTCTTTTCTAACTTTCTGCAGCTCATCTGCCCGGAGGCCCTATTTGCTGCCACTGCCACTGCCACTCGAGTTGCCTGCGAATGGGACAAGTGAATGCTGATTGACCCACTGGATCCACATCCATGGGACTCCGCTCGGGGCGTGCTCCAAGTGATGGCAACGTGCACTTCATGCAAATTAATGACAGCCATCCCTTTACCAGCACTTAGGGACATTTACTTTGAGCTCTTTTCACTTTCAATCTGTCAAATTGTCACACACCAATTGAAGCTATGAAGCTAAGAGGTGTTTGCGCTGGCACGACTTTGGCTTAAATATTTTTGGCTGGCTGAAAATGTTACGCTTGCTGTTACTTTTTCGCCTCGATTGGGGCCCTAATTTATGGCCAATTCGGAGCGTTACGGTTACGCACGTGTTGCCGTTGCCGTAACTTCCTCAAGGGACTGGGCCAGAGCATGATCGTGGCCGAAATGGGGCCTTTCAATTTACCAATCCATTCAACTCCCTTCAGCCACCGTTATGAAATCGAAAATGAAGCTATTTAGAATAGGTGCTGGGAGAAAAGCAAACTGGAAATGAAAATCCGAATTAATTATGCCGTGGAGTGGAAAATAAATTACGAGAAGTCACTTTAGAACCCGACCTTAAAAGCTGCAGCGTCATGCGGCTTGAGTCTGTGCCAAGACAAAGTAAATATTTGGACAATGGGCCAGCTCCCCCCTTTTTGTTGGTTTTTCTTTGGCAGTGGGAAATCTCACAAGAGCGATGAAGAAGAAAGGAGGGAAAACAAACAAACAAAACAAGAAAACAGCAATAACAGCTGGGGGCCCTCTGTGGTCAGTTGGAGGTGCAAGTGCAGCAGAGAGGCAGCCACAGGTTGCATAGCACTTGACCAATGGCAATCGAGCCACTGGCCACTGGCCACTGGCCACTAGCCATTAGCCATTAGCCATTAGCCGCGTGAGGTTAATAAACCAGGGGAAGGCAAGCCGAGCCGAGCCCGCTCTGACGGTGATTTATGTTTGTGGCCCAGTCTCGGACACTTAACAGGTTGGGAACGTGTTGCTTTTATTTTGGCCCGACCGGCCGACCGAGCGACCACAGCCGAAATTGATGCCCGGCTAATGCCACGCCGTAGGATGCGTTCCACATGGCGTATGCGTAATGCCCCGATCTGGCTGCAACCCAATTAATTAACGCTCTCAGCGAGCATATGTTTTCAATCAGCCAACAGGCGCCAGGCCAGCACACTCGCTCCACAAAGTTTGCTGACGAGGTATAAACAAAAAGAAAGTTGGGGAATAAACAGCATCCTGTGATATTTACTACTTGTTAACGAAATAATTTAAAGCAAATCGTGAAAAAAACGAGACTTAGAAAGTGTTCAGGGATTAAATTTTTGCTTTCAACGTACAAAGTAAAATCAAAAATTTTTTGTAAAAAAAAATTAACAAGTTTATAGATCCATAAATATTGCCTGGCTCAGCACACACACACATAAAATCAGCATTTTTTGTTCATTAAATTTAAGGGTTGAGTTTATTGCAAATCTTACTGTTTTACGGCTCAATTTATGTACTGTAAACATACGCATTTTTGTTCAGTAATTATAACTAGTTAGATGAACTTTTCGTTGGCACGTAAAACGGTTTCTGGCCATTAATCCCTATATCAAATGGCCGTCATTTATCATGCTATATTTTAGCTCCATATTTCCTACAGCTATCCCCAGTTATAACGAGATTTTAAACACTTCTTTCAATTTACTGCGCTGCTTCCGCTGTTCGAGACTCGTTCGCTTAGCTTTTTTGATTTTCACATTGATAAGCGGTCGGCTCAGGTGCAACGACTTTTCCCCCTCACTGTTCTCAGTACTCACACGTCGCACTCCCTGAGATTCTCTTACTCTTACTGGTATTCCCAGTCCGAGGTTGTAGTCGTACCGTCAGCATCGAGTGACCGCCTCCAGGTATGGATGGAATGGATTTCACATGGCCCGGCCACTCAAAAAATGTGTTTGCGTTACGCGCAGTGATTATAACAAGCTCCGAGCCCCTTCTTCACTTTTTCTCGCTCACCATCCCTCAGTCACTATCTCAAAAGATGCCGCCAGCCACAGCTTCAGCTGGAGTTGCCCCCTGCCCTCTAGAAAGATGCCCTTCTCATCTTCACTGAGAGAAAAGCAGAGTCATTATTTCTGAATGTCTTTGGAGTTTTTGCTTCAATACAAACTTCTTATTGATCAAAATCAACAATAAAAAAAACAAATTTCTTAAGACAATGTTTAAAAACCATAACTTCATTGTTTAGAAGACTTTTAGAATATAAATGTAATAAATGTAGTATTTTTAGCTTATTAATTTATATTTTCTGATATGTTACGGTTTTTTTTTGCCATACTCGCGTTCTTAAAACCAAAAACAATAAATTAAATTATGAGAAATGAGCAATTTCGTACCGTGCATCAGTTGGCTGCGTGTCAGGCTGTTTAAGTCGCTCGTGGCTTGTGTGATCCAGTTGTTTATCTTTTTCATTAGCCTGGGCGGCCTGTCATCTGTGCCGTCGCCTGTCGATCGCCAGCCGATTGACAAAACGCCTACCGGGTAAGCGTTTCCTCAGCCTCCAAAGTTGATACCAGATGCTGCAGCCAGATGCCGATGCCCCCGGCCAGGAGTGCTAGTGCTAGTGCTCTTAACTAAACGGGCTGAGACTTTTCCTCGCCTTACCACACGCCAACAGCGGTGGGGAAGGGCCGGGGAAGCGGAGGAAGTTAAGTGACTGACGCAAATTGCGCAATTGTTATTACAATTACTCTCTTCCACTAAGTTGCCTCCTGCTGCAGGCCCAACTTTGAGTTGAGCTCAGCTACTCAGCACGTACTTGCACTGGGCGAAAGAGTGGGGTTTTAGTCACACAATAATACAAAAAAAATATATAAGACGATTCCATAACTTCAAGTAACATACTTAAAGTTATAAAACTCGGACCTAACATTTTTTTATCAATTTATTTTACAATTAATGAAAGTGAAAACCAGAGCAGAACCATTTATTAAAATCTTCAAAAAAAAACTCCCATTTGCGCTTCAATGCTGATTGAACCCAAAGAAATTTTAATTACAAATTATATTTGTCGGATCTTAAGTATTATTTCCATTTCTTAACTCTAATTAATTGAAACCTAGAGAATTGTTGGCAGTGAGTGCCGTAACTCCGGCAGGTCATGCCGAAACGCAGCCAAGTTCGGTTAACATTTTTCTAATAGTTGTGGCATTTTGCTGTAAAATTATTTGGCCTCTGGCTGGATTTGAGTCTCTGTCTGTCTGGGTCTGGGCCTGAGTCGATGTCTGGCCATTTGACTGTTGACTGTGTCAGTCCGCTGCTGCTACCCGTCTTTGGCTCGTTTTGGGCTCTTAAAGATAGTCATTAGCACGAGAGATTGCTGTTGCTACTCCGACTTGCTACCTTTTCGCCTGCTTCTGTTTTGGGGCGTTTAAACGGGGTAATTATGTTTCGGGTATTTTTCGACCGGCTCTCTGCGAAAAAACCAAGCCCAAAGTACAGAAGGCAAAGAAGTAACAACTAAATGCTGCCGCTGCCGCTTTCGTTGAGGAAATGAAAACGTAACGAAATCGATTTCCAACGGTTCATGCGCCGAATGGATCGCTATATAGCCGGCGTGCAGCCGGAGCAAGCACATCTTTACCCCAGCCCCGCCCCCGCCCCTGGCCGCCCGCAATTGGAAATAGAGTTATTAGGAGTGAGCGTTAACGCTAACGTTTCGCTTACGTTTCTGGCTCATTGGACTCCAGTGAGCAGTCGGAGTCGGTAGGCCGGTCGGTCAATTGACGATACGATTCGAGAGGCCCGCCGAGAACTCGGCACGAAGTCGACCGTGATGTGGGGAATATGTTCGGGGCTAAAGCTGAAATTAATCTCGAGGCACATGATCATCCGCTACACAGCCCACATCCACATCCACATCCAGCTCAACTCCAACATCAACATCAATATCAATTTCGGTTTCAATCAACATGGACATGAAGCGTTTTCCAAGCCAATGATGTGCACAAAGTATTTGGTATCAAATTGCATTCAAACGATTTGTAGTTATAATCAATATAAAGATGATGAGGCGATAAACGGGATTTGTTTGGAGCCAGCTTTGAGCAACATCTTGTATGAGTTAATCTTGTCTGAGTGTGTCGAATGTAACATTTTGGGGTATATGCATTTTCCAATAAACGTTTAATGAACATCATTAAAAATTTGATTATAGCTTGGGTTAATCAAAAATGATGGTTCATTTTTTTGACAATAACACCATGATAAACTTTTACAAATAGCGGAATTAAAATTGCAAGCTTAAATTTCTTAATTCTTAAACTTAAAAATTGTTTCTAGGTCGTGAGTAACGTATTACAGATACGTTTTTTTTGTTTAAGGGTTTGTTGATTTGTAAAAAATAAAAATAACCAAGGAAAGAATAGAATAATTAAAAACTAGGTTCAAGAATAAGACGTATTAAATACATATTTATTTTTTTTTTTAAACTTAATATTTTTTACTTTATATATGTCAGTTTAAAAATTATCAATGGCAATGCTAAAATTATCACATCTGTACAACATCGCCTATCTATAAATTATAAAAGTGTCAATTAAATAATTTATGTATGATTTTATAGATCAGTAACCATTAAGACCCCTCCAACTCTTCCCAATCGAAAGATCCTTCATCTCAACTTCCATAAATTGCGTAATACCCCCATGTGTCGTATAATTGCCCCAAACCCGCCCACAAAGTGTTGTCAGCACATCCACATCGCGGACCCCAACTCCTGTCACATTTCCTTCCGCAAGCCTCCATTATCATCATCATCACATTCATATGGATGGCGATCTTGTGAATACGATCTGTTGCCGGCTAACCGCAATCCCGTGAGTGTGGGTTGTCTGGTGGGTGGGCCGCCTGCAGCACCGTATGCATGACCGCATATAGTTAGATACCCATACACCACTAATTACAGCCGGGCACATTCTGCCCGGCATTCTCGACAGCATAGAGCATAGACAAGGTACAATAAAAAAAGCATACGATTTTCTAACAGCCGACTTCTGCTAACCATACTGATTATTAACCATTCTCCGTGCAATCCATTGCAGACATGCGCCCGGCACGTTACCGATGAAGCAAGCGACTTTAATCAGACCCAGTCTCAGACACAGGTGAGTTGACATCCCGAGGGGGGATTGTGAAGTTGCGGCTGGTGCAACCGAAGGCAGCGATGTGTGCTACCAGTTTAGGTTACAAACATCTAATTTGGCCAGCAATGGATTGGCTAAACTTTAATTAAATTTGCTCAAATAACCAAGAAAAAACGAACACAACGATTCCGCTTTGATGGGCTGCAGCTGAAAAGCTGAAAGGCTGAGAAGGGGTTGGGCAGCAGTGCACTTGCTTTTGGGACAAGAAATTATTAATTGTAGCATGTGTCGTTTGACGTCGTCGTCGTCGTCGCCGTCGTGCGATCGCAATAAATTTTTTCCAGTCTTGTTCAACAATAAAACAAGACAACAGCCACGAAAAAAGCTGATTATGAAGCAAAAGTGAAAAGTTGTAATTAAACCAGTCACTGACTGCACAGCACCAGCAGCAACAACACACAAAAACAAACTGCAGCGACAGCAGCAACAACTGCAGCAGCAGCAGCAGCAACAGCAACAGCAGCAGCAGCAGCAACAATCATAAAGAGTAGAAATCGCTGCCTGACTTTGGCTTTTTTCTGCCACTTTTTGTTGCGACAAGTGCGCTTAATTAGTGGGGGGAGGGGGGACCAAGCGGCGAGGGAAGGGCCAAACCAAACAGGGTTCTGGTGGATGGTTTCCGGCAGGCGAAACAAGACTAATGTCCGAAAACTGTCATGCCTTGTTCCTTGCAGAAGCAGCACAGCGGCAACCACCAAGATGTGTCCCAAACGGCATTGGCTAGTCAACGACAGAGCAGCGGGCTCCGGAGGATCGGGAGGATCGGGAGGCTCTGGAGGAGCTGCGGCGAGGAGCAGGCGCAGTCTAGACCAAATAGTAGAAGTATTAGTAGCCTTAGTCTTAGTCAATTGCCTGGCCACGGCGGCAGCGGTGCTGATCACACCGCCCGACAGTCTCGAGTCGCTGTCCCTGGACTCCCCATCCACCTCCTCCTCCGAGGACGACGACATGACCGGCGGCTTCTACCGCAGCCCGCACCGCCTGGAGGGCTACCCGCAGATGCAGCAGCTGCAGCGCGGCCACAACTTCAAGATCAGCCCCAAGCCGTGCTCCTTTGGGCGCGTCGAGGGCACCTGCATGTTCGTGTGGGAGTGCATCAAGTCCGAGGGCCGGCACGTGGGCATGTGCGTCGACTCCTTCATGTTCGGCTCCTGCTGCACGCACAACTACACCGACAACATCGTCCTGCCGCAGACGGCCTTCTCCTACACGAGGCCCACCAAGCCGCTCACGCTCCGCCCGCGACCGCCGTCGCCCTACAAGCCCATGATCAGGTAAGCGACTGCCTTTATTGATGGCAAAAAAAACCAAAACAAATTATTTATAAATAAGTACTAAATAAATATTAGTAAAGGTTTTAGCCTAACTAACGAATTATAGCTGCACAGAAAAACGGAACTTTACAAATCTTAAAAACGATTTTGAATACAAACTTTTCAAAATGTTCCGATCCTGTTTTTGCACATAAAAGTCTAGCTAGTTTTTGCTGTGTAATACTAATACATCAAAAAAAGTAACTTTTATATTATGGCCCAATAGGAACTAGTCATTATGCATTAAGCACGTTACTAAATATGCATTGAACTAAAATCACTCATTTTATTAATTTAAATAATGATGACATTATTTAATTATGACATAACTTTTGACCTACTTTTACAATCAGCTTAGGAGTTTTAAATTTTATTACTTCAAAGTACGAAAGAACTTTTCAAAGCTTTTGATTTAAGGGTTTTATAATCTTGATAACTATAGCTAAGCACTCAGAAAACACTCAAAAACCAAAAGAGTATTTAAATTACCTACTTTTTAGGTAGTTAGAGAAGTTTAGACACTTTTTAGGTCCTTTTGATACTCATTAGGTCATTGGACTTAAGGATTTTTCTAAGTGTGGTTAGTGGTTCACTTAAATTTAAATAAACATATGTTATTGCATTTCTTGAATAGTGCAAAGTGCAATGATTTTATATTGAATTTGTGTGTTTATTAATTAATAATTTAACAAGAAGAGTCAACTAACTTTGAATTTTTCTGTGCCTTACTTATTGATTCCGTTGTCTTATCATCTCCAGCGGTATGACCACCATTGAGCGTCCCCATGGCGCTGGCACCCTCGTGATTCGTCCTTCGGGCCCACACCACCAGGGAACTCTGGCGCGCCCGCATCCACCGCCCTATCTGAGCAAGCCCACCACGGCCTCGGATCTGCAGAGCTCTGCCTCGCAGAGCTCCAGCTCCAGCTCCAGCTCCAGCTCCAGTTCTAGTTCGAGTCAAAGTAAGTGAAATTGGCAATGGACTATAGAAAAGGGGGCCTGGCGCCCCCGCCCAACTGTGGTACATTGTTAGCAGGAATTGTAACAAACAAATACCATCCGCAGATAGCATTTGGCATACATCGACCCAGCAGCAGCAGCAGCATCAGCAGAATCAGCAGAACCACTGGCAGATGACCACCGAGCCGAGCTTTATTACCAAGCCGCGACCCACCGGCTGGACCAAGCCCGGCATCGTCAATTTGCCAATGCCCGCGCGACCCTCCAAGCCGTCGAAGCCCACAAAGAAACCGATTGTCTACGAGCGGACACCGCCGCCTCCGACCGCCGTGCCGTTGCCGTCCACCTCGACGACATCGACGTCGCTGATTTGGCCGGACCAGACGCATCCCCCCCAGCCGCAACTCCCCACCAGGCCGCAGGTATGTAAATACGAGTCCAGGCTCAGGTTCAGTTTCAGGTTCAGGTTCAGGTTCTTTGACTTAGTCTGGGTGATGCATTGATGTCGAAAGCGAAACAAACGAGCCACGAGGTCATTTACTCCTCGACTGGGACTGTGCCTCAGTCTTAGTCTCAGCCGCAGCCGCAGCCGCAGCCCCAACCTCAGCCCCATAATGGCAGGCCACAGCCTTGGGGGACATTTTATTGTTTGCACAATGCAGAGCCGGAGCCAAAAGTTGATGTAAGATTCGCCTGCCGCTCTCAGGGGTGTGTGTGGAATTTAGGACTCTTCCATGAAAGGGTACCACAAACAGAACAAGCAACTTGCTAGTGCGAATTCCATAAAGGGATAAAGTTCGGTTTCGAGAAACATATAAATGATCACTTACAGGCTAATACGAAAATAGCAATAAATTTGTAGAGTAATAATTACTCACTTTGTTATTCACTCTGTTACTTACTCAGGCCTAATATTATTAAGATAAAACACAACTATTCCTTACATAGATCATTTTAGTCATGAAGTTAATAATCAATGTACAGAAATATTTGGAAGTAAAATAGTTTAAGCATAAAATTAAAAATGAAAAGGATTTGAATAGTAGTAGACAAGTAAAAACAAAAATAACCTTGTATTTTATTGAACCCATTAAAATATTTGGGTTAGATATTAGATAAATATTTGATTATAAAATAGTTTAAGCATAATATTAAAAAATTAAAAAGTTTTAATTAGAATACGTCTGAAAAAAATAGCCTTAGATTTCATTAATTTTTGAGATGGAATTTTTTAATCCATAAATAGTTGGGAACCCAGTAAGAGCATCCGGATTTCACCACTTTAAAGTTTTCCACTTAATGCAGATTAAGCGGCGAAATGAAAAATTGATTCTTTGCGTGGAATGGGAATGGCAATGGAAATGGGGATTGAGAATGAGAATGGCAATGGAGAATGATTTGCCGCTCTAGTCTGGTCGAGTATTTTAGCATAATGTTTACCACTTTGGCCTGCCTTGCAGCTGTCGCCGGGCACATCATTAGCCGCATCCTCGTCCTCGGTTTGGCCATCGCCAAGCACCTCGACGACATCCACATCCACATCCACATCCACAACAACAACGACGACCACCACTCGACGAACAACCACGCCGGCAACCACATCAAGGAGAACCACGACCAGCAAGCCCACGAGACCCTACCAGCGGCCCACCACGGCGATCTCCAGCTCCACCTCGGGCAAGACACCCACCACGACCAGGCCGATCCCCAGCGCTTCCAGTTCCACCAGCAGCAGCAGCAGCGGAATCGTCACCAGCTCCAGCTCTAGCCAACGGCCAACGCAGCCCACGCACCGACCGCCGGTCCTGGCCACCACCGGCATCGAGACCAACGAGATAACGGACTCCTCCTCCTCCTCCTCCTCCTTCTCCTCCTCCTCCTCCTCCTCCTCCAGCCCCGACTCCGGAGCTCTTGGCCATGTGAAGACCATTTCGGCGGCGCGCAGCGGTAAGTGCCAAGCCCCTGCACTCACAGAAATAGAAAGAGGTTTCTAAAAGAAAAAAGAACAAAACAAAAGAATATCGGCTCGCAATTTTTAATAGTACTCTCTGGAGGATTTCAGAAAAGGTTCATTCTTAAAATTTAAAGAAATAATCCATAACTTTGCAATGAGTAAATTTCAGATCATGTAAAAAAGCATTGACCGTAACGATTATAGTTATTTTTTAGAACATAGGTCTAGCTCAATTCCTTTATAGAGATATTTACATATCAAAAGCGATCATTTTTGATCCTTGATTTTAATATATTTTGAAATATATTAACAGTAATAATGTCAAATGAAGATACAAGTATTGGGTATTAACTAAAATCGTTAGTTTAGTTTTGAATTATATATTAAACGGTAATATATATATGTGAGTATTTTGTTAAATGGTGAAAAATAAACCAAAATTACTTTAATTTTGATAATATTTGAACACTGTTGAGTGCAATTTCTGATTGCGAAAAAGTAATTTCTTAGACAGATAAAGATTCAATTTGTGAAGTCCGAGATACAGCTTCCCAAAAAGCAGAGACAAGTCCGAATTGATATGTAGTGGCTAGTATGTGCAGGCCGTTCCAAGCACCCAACTGACAATGCAATTTGTTATTGCCGCAATTGCAGAGTGCGGAGTGCCGACGCTGGCGCGTCCAGAGACGCGGATCGTGGGCGGCAAGAGCGCGGCCTTCGGTCGTTGGCCCTGGCAGGTGTCGGTGCGGCGCACCTCCTTCTTCGGATTCTCCAGCACCCACCGTTGCGGTGGCGCTTTGATCAACGAGAACTGGATAGCCACCGCCGGACACTGCGTGGACGAGTGAGTGGATCGACAGCGACCCAAACCGGACTAGATCCAGATCCAGATCGAGCTAATCTGTTCTGTTTTGTCCTGTTCCATCCGCAGCCTACTAATCTCGCAAATACGCATCCGCGTGGGCGAGTACGACTTCTCGCATGTGCAGGAGCAGCTGCCCTACATCGAGCGCGGGGTGGCCAAGAAGGTGGTGCATCCCAAGTACAGCTTCCTCACGTACGAGTACGACCTGGCGCTGGTCAAGCTGGAGCAGCCGCTCGAATTCGCTCCGCATGTCAGTCCCATTTGCCTGCCCGAAACGGAGAGCCTTCTAATTGGCATGAACGCCACGGTCACCGGCTGGGGTCGTCTCAGCGAGGGCGGCACCCTGCCCTCCGTCCTCCAAGAGGTGAGTATTGCTTCGGCTTAAGCTCCATTTCAAACCCCAGCGACAATGAAAACCGTAGCGAATGCTGTGCAGGCAAATGAATGTCTTGGGTGGGGTATGGGTATGATGGGGGAGATAGCAATTAGGGTTATACAGTATGATCATAAAAGGATTTACATGGACAGCAAAAGCTTCAAACAAGATGAAAATAAATGTGTAATAACTTTAAGTATGACAAAATATTTTTAAAAAAATTAAAGATAGTCAAGGGCTACACATTGCGAACCTAAGGAGTAAAAACTTCAAATTGAGATATATGTAAATAAATGGGTGAGAACTTAAAATATGACATAGTGTTAAGAAAATCAATAAGTCAGAAAGACCCTCAAACAAGTAAAAGCTTTAAATTGGATGAAATTACTTACGTACTACATTTAAAATCTAACAAAATAATGGTTAAGGAATTTTCAAACCAAAACTGAAATACTATTTTCATACCTAATGTTATATTAACCAATTTTAAAGATGACGAAATTCGAGATATTTTCAAAATTGTGTCATTCTATTAAAAGTTTTTGTTTTTAATTAGTAATATTTTTTTGGTAGTATTATTCTAATCCATTTTATTCACTTAATTCACGACGAATAGGTCTCTGTGCCGATTGTAAGTAACGACAATTGCAAATCTATGTTCATGCGCGCCGGTCGCCAGGAATTCATTCCGGATATATTCCTGTGTGCGGGCTATGAGACCGGAGGCCAGGACTCCTGTCAGGGCGATTCGGGAGGACCACTGCAGGTGAGTGTCTGGAAACTGTTAGTCCAATCAAATGTTTGCTAAGCCAAAATCTTAATCTACTACTCCAGGCCAAGTCGCAGGATGGCCGCTTCTTTCTGGCCGGGATCATATCCTGGGGCATTGGCTGCGCCGAGGCCAATCTGCCCGGGGTCTGTACGCGCATCTCCAAGTTCACGCCGTGGATACTGGAGCATGTCAGATGATGATCAGTCTGGAGATCGTGGCGATTATGATAATGGCAGCTCGACTTTTGTTATTGTTTTAATTTATCAGTTGTAGCTTTAAGTCTTGTGTGATTTATCTTAAAAGAATGTTAAGCGTAGTTAGCTTCAATTTAACAATTTTAACAGCATTGACCTTGACTTGGCCTTGTGGGCCACTGCCACACCCCTATTCGCACTCACTCACCCACACAAACACAGTCAACGCCCACTAAGTTAGTCTAGCGAAAATGTTAGAGCCGTAAGTTGTCTAACACGGAAAACGGTCGGATTTCGATTCGGGAGATTCTCTAATTGTACATAGCCGAAAAGAGCGGGAATAGGGGGATGGGAATGGGAAACGGGAAGGGGAGATGGAGAGTCATTTGCATGTCCACAAGTTGTTGGTATTTTAGAAATAGTAGTTATATTTAACAATTAACTAAATCTATATTTATTGTAAACAAATGCATGCAGACATCTTAACGTTGTTTGTATCTTGCCCAAAGAACAAGTTTATCTATAGCGATGCGAAAGCTCGAGAGCAATAAAAGATTACTGAAAATATAGTCTAATAAATAATAAGGCAGACCTCGGTGAACTGGTCCAGTGGAGATACAGATACCCATCGCCATAAGAGCCGATTTCCTCCTCAACAATTTTAGGCCCCGAGGGTCCAAAACCATTCACACAATTTGCAGTCATCGCCATCGCCATCGCCATGTTCGGCTGCGGGCCATTGAAGATGATTGGCACAATCGATTTGCACGTGGGGAGATGCGAGATGTGAGACATCATCCGCAGTGGCCACTTTCCTCCGGATTTCACTTTTCAACAGCTCACTGGCGTGACATTTGACTTGACACCCAACACCTCCGGTCAGCCGCCCAATTAATCACTCGAAGATTCATGTGAGAGCAGCGGGTTCTGGCCACGGCCCACACACATAAGCCAACATATTTTCGGGGGGTTTTCACTTTTTCGACGCGAGGCCATTTATTTCTGGCAACAAGAAAAGAGATAACTACTTCCAGCTTGATCACATAATCGGAAAGAATCCAAGCTTCACTGAACTTAAATCGATGCACACTTCACGGCCGGATGGAGGTTTTTTCGGGGGCTCGCCTACTTCTTCTTGGGGAAGATCAGGTCCTTGGCCTCATCGTACAAGTCACCGGCCAAATACTTGAGGTCCTCCAGCGATGTGGGGAACTTTTGGATGGGCTCGATGGCCACCTCCTCGCCGGGCTTGACGCCCTTGATGAAGTTGTAGGCCACGGCGAAGATCTTGCGGCCCTCGTACAGCACCACGCGGCAGTTCTCCTCCGCCTGGCGGGGATAGCAGAGGGAGGCCACCGCTCCGGCTCCGATGCCGGTGTACACCACCTTCTTGATGAAGCCTCCGCGGGCGGCGAAGATGAATCCGGCAAGGCCGCCCACCACGATGGCTCCGCTGCGGTGCAGCGAGTTCTGGGGCTCGTTGAGGAGGTCGATGGTGTGCTGCGTGTGAGCCTTGGCCGTTTCCACGTAATGTCCCACAATGCCGGCCTGGTCGGCCACAGCCTTGTAGCCAGACTGGACCTCCTCGCGGACGAAACGTACTCCGGCTTCAATGTTCTTGTGCAGCACCGAATCCTGTGGAGGATGCCGCTCTGGCTTGGGTCTTTGGGGAAGTTAAAGGAGGCAAGATTAGAATGCGATCCTGTCCAAATGCGGATTACTCACTCTGTCTTGCGCAGACTGCCGTAGATAGGCAGTTCGCTGGGCCGGCACACCAGGCTGCAATCAGCCGCACTGGAGGCGGGTTTTTGGGGCTCGGCAGCCGCTTTCACGGCCACCGCCGCCATGATTCCCATCGTCGCCGTCGTGCGCAGCATCTCGAAGTGGTCAGCGCTGGATGAAGTGCCTCGCTGGGTCGATCGGAGCGTGTGTACACACGGAATTTAGTCAACTGTTAGGTAAAATTGCTTATGTTTTACATCAGTTGTTAGACATTGCGTAATTTGTCAGGGCACGATACGACTGAATGACGCGGAATGACGGCATCGGGTGATTCGTGCAACAGATGTTCGCTGGGGTCACGTGTGGGTGGTCCGTTTCCGATATATCGGCATACGGTTAGTCAAACCGTTTAACACAAAATGGTTAATAAAAAATCAGGTGCTTATTAAAATTTATTTTATAGATACTAAATCAAATTCCTAAAATATTAGATTTGGAAAACCGTTCAATATACTTATTTTAACTGAAGCACTTAAAATGCCACCACTTTAATGTCCAATATAATAAAATATATATTTGTTTACTGTTCTTATATACTCTTCTAAAAATATTCGTTAAAATACAATTAGTTTGTTTTAAAACCTAGTTTATATTTCAATTCAAGCCTAATTTAAAACGGTTATTTATGCTAATCGATATATCGCGGAAAGGAACATCGATATTAACGATGTTTTGATATCGTCGATGACAGCCATGTTTCTCCACCTCTATTTTATTCGCTATACAATAAAAACCAAAATAAACCAACTTAAGCCCACTGATAAGCGGACCAGCAATCTTCAATGAAATCACTACCGTCAGATAAACTGCCATCGACCACCTGCAAGCGCACGCCCAGCGGAACAGCCCCGTCCGACCGCCCACACTCCCACATCTGTGCGTCGGCCGCCCACCCACTTCGGCCGTCGGTCCGTTAATGTTATCAGTTCTGCAGCAGAGGCAGCAACATCGAGTGGGCGCGCACAAAAGGCCACCCACCGCTCAAGGACGAGGCGTAGGCAAAGGTAGTGCCCGCAAGGCTAACTTGTCTTATAAATAAACGAAGGGCCCAAGTATCAGGCAATGTTTATTGACGTTTAACGCAGGTTCAATTCGATTTGCTTGCAGTTGCAGTAGAAGTGGAAGCGGCAGCGAAATAAGCAGCGACGTAACCGCGCAACGTGCCCTGAATACTAAAACCTTTTTTTTCGGGCCATGCCAATGCCACGGACGTCGAGCGGCTGACAGGAAATCGTGGCCAGCGACCAAACAAAACCACACTTCCTCACTGTGAGCAATAGAAACTCTAGTCATTAGTTCATATGGATGCTACCGCAAGTTCAAAGTTCAGGTGAGCAGCCCGTTTATAGCTTCGAATTTCACTCATTTTCACTAATTTCACTATTTTCCCCACCCTAACCGCACGTGGTTAGCGATGTGGACGAGTATGGCTTCAAGCGTGGCGACCACTTCGACTACAACAACTACTCCAAGTTCATGGATGGTTATTTAAAGACGCTCACGCGACGCCGCATGAAATGGGAGGCTATACTCCAGCAGAACACCGATCTCACCCAAATGGACGCCAAGCTGAAGCGGTACATACGAAAGGGCATCCCTGGTCCGTACCGTCCAGACGTCTGGATGAAGATATCCGGCGCCGCCGCCGCCCAACGACGCTCTCCGGATCTCTTTCGCAACCTGCTGCGCATCGAGCCATTCGACAAGGAAATCAGCGATTCCATATCAATCGATCTACCTCGTACCTTCCCCGACAATATTCACTTCGACACGAAGAAGCAACGCCTGTACAACATCCTCATCGCCTACGCCCACCACAACCGGGACGTGGGCTACTGCCAGGGGCTCAACTACATAGCCGGCCTGCTGCTGATCGTCACCGACGACGAGGAAAAGTCCTTCTGGCTGCTCAAGCATATCGTGGAGAACATCGTGCCGCAGTATCACTCGCACAACATGGCTAATCTGCTGAGGGACCTTGCCGTATTTCGGGAGTTGGTCATCCGGCGGATTCCCGCTGTGAACCGACAAGTGGATAACTTGGGTAAGTTTACTCTCTGCCTTTGCCAACTCATTTATAACTCGTTTTTATTTCAAGGCCTGCCCTATCCGGTGATTGCCAGCAAATGGTTTATCTGCATCTTTGCCGAAGTGCTGCCCGTGGAGACGGTGCTGCGTATCTGGGACTGCGTCTTCGCTGAGGGCTATAAAATTGTTTTCCGTGCTGCCCTGGCCATGTTCGTCACCCACAAGAATGACATTCTGGCCTGCGACGACATTGCGGCCCTGGCCAACTTATTCCGGGACACCATGATCCAGGACAGCATCGTGACAGACTGTCATGGCTTTGTGGAGGCCATGTTCAGTCTGCGCCTAAAAAAAAGTGAGCTGGAGAGCCTGCGCAAGGTAGCTGTGCTCAATCCGGCCTAAAAAGCTCATTAGAATGGGGCTTTATGACCAACAGATCAAACAAAAGCAACAAACCCAAAATCAAATTGGAGAAGCAATCGAAAAATTCAATTATTAGGAGCGTAGTTCACCCGTGTCATTGTTTTTATGTTCATGATTGTGAGTGTGCATTATGTAATCGTTTCTATATAGAACGTATTTATATGTGCGCGCATTTGTATTACCATTGTAGCCCAATTGTAGTTAAGGCCAAAATAATTCGAGTATTAGCCAACGAAATCAAATTGAGTTACCAAAGCGAAATTTAAAATGGAACAGAAAAGATCAGATTAGTTTTACCGCATGTGTACGTACCTTTTGTAGTAGAAGTAGTAGCCAAAAGTTTCTAGTTGATATCTTCCGCATGTAGACTATAAGCGCATTTAGCCCACGTTTCACCCAACAACAAACAATTTGTGTTCTAAGTTATCTTGTTGATCAATGAAGTATTTATTTTCGAGTATATGTATGTACTTTGATAGGAAGCTATGTAAATGTCTACGTCTAGATAAAACATGTATTTACTTTTATATATATAAATGCTTTTAAAGTTGTTACATAGTTGACTAACTGTAAAACGTCTGTTAGCCGCAACCGGTTTGTCTCGAATCGGTTGCCCAATACTCAATACTATTTACAAAAGATTTATCCTGAAATATAATTTGAGGAATTGATTTGTAAATGCATTACCCCGCAAGTCATTGAACCCAAAACTATTTCCTTACACGGAAGAGGGTTTCAATGGCTGATGGGTTTTGTATTTGATGCAGCCTACATGCTTTTCAAATAAAACTATTGCTAACTGTTAGTTACTGTAGAAATTTATACAGTCTTTAACTAAATTGGGAGATTAAAACCATAAAGGGAAGACTTTGGTGTATTCTAGGGAAGATCAAAAGTTTAAGTGGTAAGTGCTTTAAGCAGTCGACAGGCTAAGCCTATGAATTTCAGAATATATTTATGGCATTCCACAGTGGGCACCGCACAGAGGATCCGAGGATAAAGCCAGTGATGTGAGCAGCGTTCGCCTGCCAGGATGGACGCCGAGGTTCTCCCAATTGATCCAGGAGAGGCGTGCTGTTAGATCTGCAAATCGAACAGTTTAACAAACATTGATAATCCGGAGAACTCCTCCACTCACCACTTGTATTCCAGTTAGCCCGATCCGCTTTGATCTCCCCCCGCAGACACTTCTCCACATAGGTTAATGGGTCGTAGTCAGTTTGGAGCACTTCACGGAGCAAGGATATATAGGCGATGGCCAGGCGCAAAGTGTCGATCTTGCTCAAACGTTTCTCGTACGGAAAAGTGGGCACATGGACCCTTAACTCATCGAAGGCCGAATTGATGCTACTGCAAAGCGCAAGGAAAATTCGAAAAAAAAGGAAAGCCCGTTAGTTACAAAATCCATGTTATGGATAGCAGTTGTTAGGAAGTTGTAAAATGGAAAAGACCATTTGGTGTACCCAGTTGGGGCGGACCTCTGGATGCGTTTCCTTTCCCGCACATTGGCCGCTTGTCGCTGCATTTTGTAGTTGGACGCAGCTGTGGCTCCCACGGATCCGTACCCGGGATTGGGGCCACTTCCTCCGCCCGGAGTGGCTGATCCTCCGTTGGCGCCGCCTCCTCCGCTGCTGCTGGCACTGGGACTGTTGCACATCAGGGGTGCTCCACCCCCGGAATTGTGCACCCCCATGGGATTCGTTGAGGAGTCTAGCATGTTCTCTGGAATATTTAAATACACCTGAGGAAAAATTCATTGTAAATATATATTAAGTTCTTACCTCCGCTGTGCTGCATATAATGCTGTTGGATGTGACGTAGATTATTCGAGCTGAGACGTAGCCCGGAGTTGCCACCGGCTCCTCCTGACCCACCGCCGCCTCCTCCGGTGGCGCTTCCACCCTGATGCTGGCCCGCATAAATGCAGGAGGGCAGATCGTTAATCAGATCATCGTCAAAGTTGTGAAAGGGTAAATGACTATGGGTAAAAATAAGGAATGGTTTATTTAAAAAAGGCAAAATCTTGTTTTAAATGTAAGCTTCAACTATTAATTGAAAAAATAGGACCTAAAACCGTTATAATATATATATAATTAATTCATGTAATGTAGCTGCGGTCATGAAAATAGTATTTTAGTGGTAGTAGCCACTTTAGAATTCGTTTTTCATTCAAAAATACAGCTATACATTTTTTCTAAAAACTGCAATTCGTTGAGTTTCCGACGGCACAGCAAGAGTCAACACAGTTTTTGGGCGTGGCCGCACTTTTGTTAAAGCTTAGTTATTAAGGAATATTATCAATGTTAACTTTGGTTCATAACGTTTTTCCATTATTTAATACTTAATAAGTTATAATTGTTGAGATCTAGCATTACGCATGTCGTACTTCAATCACTGACTTTTTGACCATATATGTTTTATGTTTTAATAATTAATTTTGTGTGTTTAAAGACCGTACCTTATGGGTGGTGAGGAAGAGGAGTCCGGCAATTGGTTTCGCGACATTTTTTCTTGAACTTTCCTTACTTAAGATTATTCTATTAATTTAATAAATTAAAAGTTTTTTTTTTCCGACACCTTTACGCACTTCCGCTGTCCAATAAGTTAAAAACTTTAATGAGTCCATCTCCCGGGAATTGCGAGCCTTTTATAGTGCTGCAGATCCAATTGGAAATGCCGCAACTCTGGTAAGGACATGAACAACCCCTAAGTATCCTTGCAGCCAGTCGCCGTGCGTTTTGAACTCGATGGGCGGAGCCTGCCAAGTACAGGGTGTTTGCCCATGTAAAGGGAGCGGATGCTGTGGGAAGTTCGCAGGATTTACTCGCCTCTGGCTGACCGTCGATTGCTGGGCGTAGTTCTGGATTTGGAGTTAATTATGATAATTGATTTCTTGGGTTTATTAGATATGTTATTTGATCTTGGGCTAAAGCTGTAAAATATTATTTCAAGCGCTTGTCAGTGGCGTTTCGTCCCTTGCATTTTTCTTTCCTAAGTAACATTTAATAATTTTTTTTTAATTTAAGCCAGTAGATTTAGAAATATTAATAATTTTTTATATCACTTTTAATCCAAACATCAAACATATCCTTGTTGATTGGAGGGTATCTTTAATTCGCTCTTACCGACATTCCAAAATTCCAGTCACTCCCCCTCAGTTTTGGCTTCAGCTCCAGCATTCGCTTTGTGCTTCCTTCACCTGTTTTTGACAGACTGCCATTATATTTCGCACAGCAGGGAGCCGCCATGTTTGTGTCCACCGCTTTGATGACGTGGGAGAGCAAGAAAGGATGCTTTAAGGATGGGGGACCTACCCCAGATAACCCTATCGTGCTCCCCTTAAAGTACAGTTCTACGGGCAAATGGGAGTCGAAAAGTCTGCCAGTAATCGGAGTGCGATATAGGGGTCCGAGAACCTGTTGATCCGACTCAACTGGAGTTTGATTCCCACGGGATGCGGACCAAGCAGAACCAGGGCAATTAGATCCAACGCAGATAGGACTGGTCGCTACATTTCACGGATCATTTAACCCAACCAGAACCAGAAACGGGATCAGGATCAGGAACCACTCGAAGCCGCAGTCTTTGTCAACAGACGTCACGGGGCAATTGTTGAAATTGAATTATGTTTATTTGATGTTTTGGTTTGTCGCAAATTAGCTACGTCAGTTTCGTCAGCCACGTCAGAGCGGAGAGGTCCCCGCCCAGTCAGGCGACCAGGTCGCGTGCCCTAACCCGAGGCGCGAAAATCCCGAGCAGTCCGATCCCGAGAACAAAGAGCCGGCAATATGTCAGGGCGGATGCGCAAACCTTTTCATTACCAGACAAATTTGCTTGTCGCACGCGTCGGCGCACACTTCGCACACCCCTCGCACCCAGAACTCCGGGGTCTGATGACAGTAATCAGTTCTGATGGAGGGTAAGTGCCCGAATCCGGGGCACAATTCAAGTCCAAAGCGATTGAGCGGCAGATAGGAATGTGTGGTGCCGCGAACAAAGCTGACATCCTTAAGTGAAATCTTGTTACCAACCAATGTAAACACGATTGTTAATTTAACTTTTGCAATTGCCGCAGGAAAACCGCCCTATAGACTGGTACTTCCCGTATAGCCTCCCCCTAATCCTAAACCTAACCCTAAACCAGTGAGGTGGACTTGTCATCGCACCACAATTAAATTATCGCATTTCAAAACGAGTGCACCGAAAGAATTGTAAATCGCGGACTGTGGGAAAACCAAAAATAAATAGAATGAATATCCTGAGCCCATTTGATTTGCATATAAGAGTATTACTGGAGAAGTCCAATGGGTCTAAGCTGGACGGAACATGCTAATTTAAGTAAGGGCTATAACCTTAAAGTGAGGCGGATAATTAAGTAGCAGACTTTGTGGGAATAAGTTAAAGTGCAAAAATTAGTTTGCTTTGCCCTTCATATGATTTTAGCTTAAAAATAATTAAACATCAACACTAAATGAATCTAATCCAATAATCTTTTTAAAACTAACTTAGAAGTATCTAAAATAAAACCAAACCACCCACTAAAATCAAACCAACTTTGAACTTTAAAATCAGATTATGTATTTTTAATTTGATAATCAAGTTGATTGAGTACAAATTTTTTAATCATCTCCAGAGCTGACGTAGCTAATAAAAGAGTTAAATTTCGCAAGCGTTTAACTCAAAGTGCAATGGTAATCAAGGTTGGCACTAGCTTTATCTAGCTGAGATTTTTTTGTTGTGAAAACCCCAAGATTATCTGAGATCAGTCAGTTGGCATAATTGAATCAAATGGTTCTCACACACTGGGCAAGTACGTAAAACAGATTGATAGTGTCAAGGAGCTGCAAACGCAGCCATCAACCGCAGGCCACCCCATCTGGAGTGGCTGACAGGGCTCAGGACCCTTGTCTGGTACATATCGATTAGCGCCTGGCATCCAAACCAGAGTAAATCCATTCTGTGAATCTCTGTAGCGGCACACGACCACTTTTCCGCAAGGATAATCCCGCCCCAACCCCCAGCGGAACTTCGACCGCAATTCGCTGCGGCTGCTTCAAACTGCCCGGAGCAATTGTCTGCGAAATTGTTTGTTTATTTTGATGTTGTTTAATGCGTGCTAAGTCCCTGCCATTTCATGCGCTCGGATTCGCCGTGCCAGAGTATCCTGGGAAAAGCAAACATCCTTGGCGCCAGCGGCTGAGGTGAGTTTCAGCTCGAAAAGTGAAAGCTTTTCACGAAAGCTTAAAAAAGGAAAATTGGTTGGCAAATTATCTTCCGGGTTTCGCCTTAGCTTTATATGCAGGGGATATTCCTGTGCTTTCTGGGGCAAATACTTGGGACTATCCCGGCAAGTTTCCGAAAACAGGTTCCCAAACAAAAAGATTAATACTAATAATTATTAGAACTAAATTTGCAGGCCCAAACTGCGCAATCTTACGGGCATATTTTAAGCTAAATAATAAAAACAAAGTACAAAAAACAAAACACAAAGAGAAATACTTCGGAAATATCTAGGTTTTTAGGTAGATTAACCTGTCCTCGAAGCTGGCTGACTTCAACGCGCTTCTCTAAAATTTGCATATCTTGCGATAAATGCCTGTCAAGTCGCGATCATTCAGACCAACTTAAAGCACAGGAAAATATTGATGCCCGGGTTCAATGAGGTTCACAGATTCACTCGGGGTTGACATTCAGCTGTCGCCTGCGCACTTCACATTACTTCTCAATGGGCAAACAAGCGAGCTTTCAGTTCAAAACTATTGATCAATGAACGTGTAAATACATTTTAATGAACCCCCAAATAAACGAACTTGCTGCTGTTCTTTGTGTTGTTAATTATAAAACAGAAACAAAACAAACAAGACGTGCAAAAAAAATGTATGCACCTTTAATCCTTGTCGAAGTTTGAATACTCTCAAATGTCTAGCCAACTCTATGTTTATTTAAAAAAGTTATTAAAGTAAGATCTTCCTTTGATTAAATACTCTTAGTTATTTAGATTTCTTGAAAAAAAAAACAAATTTGAAATTTTGTATAGATTAGGAAAGTGATGTTGAATAAATGTCTGTTATTATTTTCTCATAAAATTGTTAGTGTATTTATCCAGTAAAGAAATGCTGATTGTGTGAAAAGAAGACCGCTTAAACTAACTGTTATTGTCTTTGGCATACGACACATGTGAATCGCACTATGCCTTAGACACTGTTGAATACCCTAGCTGGATTATTTTGCACAAATTTTAGTATTTTTTTTTTTAGTTTTTGATGAAGTGTTAATAACCCAGGCTGTCAGCCAGGTTTCGATTCGGTGTGCTGCAAGCAAATGAAAATCCCATAATACCCATACCCTCTGCAGCGGCATGTCGCCGTTGAATCGTAAATTTCGGTAGCCACAGCCGAAGGCGACGCCAATCGTTTCAGACTCTGGGGCTTTTGCTGGCTGGCCAGTCCACTCAGTCAGTTAGCCACCGTCCGCCGTTCAGTTCACACGTCGCGAACAGAAGCAATCCCGCTCCAAAGTACCCAAGTTCGAGTGACTGGCTCATCCCGAGTTTTATCGGGAAAACATTAACCCGTTGTTCTGGCACTACTGGATAGTAATGCCAGCGAATGCCAACACGTCTGGCCAATTTCGGGTAATTGGAACGTGATTTATGTGGGGCAACGGAGTGCGGTTCCGATTCCCAGTGCCCTAGCTGCTCGGTCCAGTCACCAGCGGAATCCACTCAATGCCGGGTTGATAAGCGCCGCGAGCGTGATAAGAGCGCCAAAAAGGCGCCAAGTCGTAAATTAAGCGAGCTTCTGCTTCTGTTTCTGCCTCTGCCTCTGCCTCTGCTAAAACTAAAATAGAAATAGAAATCGAAATCAAATCGGCACTGGCATTGCCATTCCGCGTATCGCAATAATTAGTATACGATCAAATCAAATTAATCAAAGCCAATATTAAAAGTATAAACAGAGCGTCGAAGAAGTACGATGTCTAAGCGTGCGAGCTTAACCCATGACAGCCCGGCGCTGGAACTGGAGCTGCCGTTGCTGGCGCCGCAGGAGCGGAGTCAGCGGAGCAGGAGCGGAACAAGTGAGTATGCCAGCACCGTTGCGTCCTCGCCCTCCCCACTGGGCCATTAAACCAGTTAACTTGGTCAAAACAAGCTAACTGGCACACCACACACACGCTCACACTTGTCCATAAATCAGTGACACTTGCACGTTGCATTATAGCCGGAGTTTTGGGGGCAGGGGATTCAGGCAGGGGCCGACTCCACTGCGGACTTTGTTTTCTTATATTCATTCCTGTTCCCCCCGATCGACTGTGATTGCGAATTATTTGAATAACACTTAATTTATGGAAACCGTGTAGCGCCAATCCAATTAGAATATTGGATAAATAATAAAAAAAAGTAACTCTCGCCTAAAATTGAAACTGAACCGTTTCAAGCAGCTAAGCAAAGTCGAGCCCCTCCCTTGTTGCTTTTCCTATATCCTATATCGAAACACCCCACCCCTTTTCGTTTGGTTCATTGATAAAAGCTCGGTGTCATTTGTTTTCCCACTCAATAGCTAATTATTTCTGTCGTTGGTGAATTATAAATAAACCCTGCACAATTTGCATATTATTTGTCCAGCTACAAAAACAATAAAATCGAACAAAAACAACTGCAAATAAAATAATAAACGTTTATTGTATGAGCATTTAAACGATATAAAGGCGAACTTTTTATCCCAGGCAATGCTGAAAATTGCATGCGATATTTTTTGCAAATTGGTTTTTCCGCTGTGATTGAAAATGAGATATGAAACTAAAAAGCATGCTTATGAATAGAAACGGAATAAATAAATAAATACAAATTAAGAAGTCATACCAAGCACACTTAATTAATATTGAAGAAAATAAGTTTTAAACATTTAATCTAAAATAAAACTATACATTTTTGAATTAATAGCCAATCAATCATCATTTAACAATTTTTAATTAGAATTCTGTCAATTCAAATTCTATGTTGAGTTCTATATTTAATCACTCAAAATTCACTATTGACAAAATGTCCGAGGCGATGACAAATTTATTTCACATTTTTTAAAGAACATTTCGGCTTTCTTTGAAAATATTTACCTTCAGAATTAGGGCGTTTCCGAAATCAACAGGATGCATGAGTCATGACATCATTTACGTTGAATATAAATGGGTTAGTCTAAAGTGAATGACACATTTAATCAAAGCATTGACCTTATGTTAAAGATAGACTGTTAGCACACAGTCTGATAGCCCTTGGAAATATTTAATGAAGATAAACCGCCAGAAGATATCCTAATCTTTTTCGCTAATAGTTATTTAGACTTCAGGCTTGATTTCACAATTAGCACCATTTATGGCATTCAATTAGCAACAATTTAGCCACCGAACAAAGAGTCTTGTTTGTTATCTTCGACGAGAGCGTTGCTGCCTCGGCAACTTTGTCTTCATTCGTTTTATTCAAAGCAAATAAATAACAAATTTTCGCGTAATAAGACAAAATAACAATAAACATGCGACAGACCCCACGGACCCCACAGTAATAAATCAATCATAAACCGGCACACTCAGTTGCCGAATTCCGACAGCTACTATTCGGCCATCGCCGAGAGAAAAATGAGGCTGAAATGATGGAGAGATCTCTCTGTCAATCGTGTAATCATTACGCTGCGGACAACGCGGCCCAGTTTGCCATTAAACAACCATCGTCAACTAACCAACCCAAAATAAATACGCCAAACAAAACAAAAGGCCCAAATACATACAAAAGTGTCAACAAATTGTCAGAACTATATTTGATGTGATCTATCAGCCAAATTGTTCGCAACCGCCGACCGACAAATACATTAGCCCAAACACCCGAGATCACCGAGTGTCGAGCGATCTATCGGCACGCTCCGCCGATTTGCCGCGGATCTCTACCCCATTCCGCTGGTCTAATGTCAGTGTAACTGCAGTTCCCACAGTGGAGACGGCTATAGTAATACCCCCTGATCAGTTGATTTATATCATTACACCTCAGACGGAAATGCAAGAGGAGAATAACCTTGCTATGATGGAGAAGTGCGCACACTCTTACTTTACTTTTTGTGGAAGCTAAAATATTTAATACATAGGTCTTGGAATTAGCGCAGAAATTTATAGTAGCATGACAAATTAACCAAATTTACAAGATATATAAAATGTACATGTAACGATATAAATACAGTTCATCAGCCTAATAAAATATAATTTATGAAGAAAAATACCGGAAGCGCTTCATAGTTCAGTAAATATTCTTAATAAAATTGTCACACAACTTGTTTACTACTAAATTGTTTTTAAAAATGGTTAAAAGAACTGCATATAAAATCATAAATAATTTCGGTTAGTTATTTTCTGCTCGAGAGCATCGACATTTCGGGGGACTCCGCTTTGGGGGCAGTGTAAGCCAGTAAGTGCCGTGCCGGCGTTTAATAACAACAGCAACAGTTTTGCGCGCCACGCGAAACGAGAGCCGAAGAGAGAGCCAAAGAGAGCTTAAGAGAGCGGCGGAAGAGAATGCACATCAGGAGCAGCAGGGGGCGGCAGCGGCAGGAGCAACAACACAAGCACACACGACATCGACGTCGTCGGCTGGCAAAGAATGGTCCAAGCTGGCAGCATCCGAGCATCAGCCACTGCCGGCGTCGCTGTCAGCGTCGCAGTCGGCTGGGGGCGGCGGAGAAAAGGGACGCGGCAATGGGGGGAAGGTTATAAAAGTTCTTCGCTGTGGAGACGAGCGCTCAGTTGCTCTTGGTCAGTCGTTGTGTGATGAACTTGAACGTCACAACAGCCGCCCGTCGCCATCGCCTTCGCCGTCGCCAGTCGAATCGCATTCTCAGCCTCAGCGCCTAGGAAATAGTGCGAATCAAGAGCAGGAAGCGTGTTGTTGTTGCCGCGAGCAGCCAAAGACAAGCGGTACGAGTGCGGTACGAGGTCCGAGATCCCCGAGGTGTCCGAGGTGTGGGTGCGTGAGTGCGCATAGTATTAAATTAAACAAACGAAAGAACAGCAACAAATGCGAGTGCCAACAATAATGCTCTATATATACTGAGTTCAGATGAGATGTGCTAATATATAGACGCTGGGACCCATGATTCCGTCTGAAGACGGGCCGCCAGACAATGTTTGGACAACCCATAAATAAGGCGAGCGGGCAGCAGCCCACACAGAACAGCTTGAAATTTCATAATATCACTTTATTATTATTATTATTATTAGTTGACGTTATTATTTACTAGAGTGCTGCTGCTGCTCTCTGCCTCTTTTTTGCCGTTGTCCACATCACATTGCAAATTGCTGTTGTTTCAGCGGAAAACGCGCGCGAATTACTTCCCATCCCATGCCCGCGTATCACCGTACCACGTTGCGTATGAGCAATCCGCGAAATGCATCGAAAATTAGGAAGTTCGTGCACCCCACCTGACCACGTGTCGAAGGCGTAACGCCGTTAAACGTATCGTATATTCCGCAGAGACAGCCGCAGATGCTCGTAAAATCAGACAGCGTTTTATGTGTCAGTTTCCGTTTAGAGCGCTTCAGGCTGTAAATTTATTCCAAAAGTAAAAAAAAAACGAGGAACGTGCGACGGATTTCCGCGCCCAGATAGACAGACACCATCAAAACAAAGCTCCAGCAACAGGAAACGGGCTAGGAAGTTGCCATCAGCACTGCCAATTGTGCAGCAGGACGCGTGCTGCAGGATTGCCTGCGCCTGAGTCTGCCACAGCAGCAACATCAGTGGCAACACAGCAGCAACACCTGCGGCAACACCAGCGGCAACACCAGCAGCAACACAACAGCAACTTGTTTTGTCTATCCATAAGGTAAGCTCATTACGCACACTGGCTGCTGGGCGACGTCGACAACACGGCAGGACTCAACTGAATTCAGTGGGGGAATGTGTGAATTAATGCCACTGTGTGTGTGTGGTGGAGTCCTGGCATTCTTGCTCGCGGACGTGCCGCCAGCGACGTTTGCTTCGCTCTCCTTTGTTTATTTATTTATGCGCCTTTTTTGATTTTTTCTTTTTTTGTGTGTGGGTCCGTGTCTTTCTTTTTTTTCACCGCCCGAGTCTATTTGTTTGGCTCTTGCAACAACAACTACAGAGGCAGGATAACAACAATGAGGATAACAACAAGGACAACGACAATGACTTTATCCTGACAGATTGTTGAAACCAGCTTTAGGCCCTCTGGTAGAATCTGCAAGCCCACTCCAGGCATCAGAATTTGCTTCGAGGATTTTCCTGCAAATGTTTACCGTAAATGACATAAACGGAAATGACCTTTAAAAGTAGTCGGCCCATATTAAGCAATTTTAAAAATGTTGTATACTTTTATGAACTAATAACATGTAATGGATGCATGGTTAAGAGTGCACTAATGCAAAAAGAGAAAACTTTCCATTAAAGAGCAATAAAGAATAAATTGATGTGTAAGGAAAGTAAAAGTGCTTGAAAGGGTTCTGTTATTAACAATTTTCTTCGATCAAAAAAAAATGTAACGTATTATTCTTTTTGTTTTAAATTTAAAACTTAAGAATCTACGAAATTTCATCGAATTGGAACTAAATTGTGTACTATCATTTAAAAAAAGTAATGAGTTGCTTTATTCAAATCTAAAAGTTAAACTATTTATGAACAGGCAGTTTTTTTCACTAGCATCTTGAAAATAAAAGTTCCTTAGAATAAACTGAATAAACACAGTTTACTTAGACGTCGATGGATTCATGTTCAGATAAAATTCCACCTCAAAAGACTTTACCATTTCTCTGAGGATTAAAGGTTACTCAAGGCGAAAATCTAAGTAGCCAGAGACACGAGCAGGCCCCCAATGAAAATGAAATTGAAAACTCCACATGGCTGAGCGCCAAGCCTCATAAAGAAGCATTGAGCATATTGAGTAGCTCATAAGCATATCGGAATGGGCATGGGAATCCTGACAATGCATGCGAGGGACTCGCAGGCGGAGGTCAAAGGGGAGGGGGAACAAACAAACATTACTGGCAATCACCTGGCGCCTGCCCCACCCACTCTTTGCCGT